TACCCAGCTGGGAGTGCAAACTCAAGAATAGATGGAGGGCCCAGCACAGTAGCATAGTGTCTAAAGTCCTCGCCTTGCATGCATCAGGATCCCATATGGGCACTGGTTTTGTCAGGGTGGCTCCACTTCCCATCCAGCTCCCTGCTTGTGGCCTGGGAAAGCAGTCGAAGACAGCCCAAAGCCTTGGGACCCTGCACGTGTGTTGAGATTCAGAAGAAGCTCCTGGCTTCGGATCGGCGCAGCACCGGCCATTGCGGTTACTTGGGGAATAAATTAGTGGATGGAATATCTTTCTCTCTGTCTCTCCTTCTCTCTGAATATCTGCCTTTTCAATAAAAATAAATAAATCTTTATTTAAAAAAAAAAAGGAGTAAAGGGAAACATGATGATGACCCTTCCACATAATGGGGTGCTCTGAGACTTCCTATAATCAGATATGAAATAAGCTGTGGTCAGATCTATGGCGTGTGGGAAACTTGCTATGTATGAGGAAGCAGGGCTCACAGACACCTTGAGAGGTTGGCAGAATGAGGCAAGGCTGTGAAAAAAAGCTGGAATAGTTACAAAAACGTCTCTTTGACCCAGTCATATTTGGACCTCAGAGTATATATATATTTTTTGTATTCATTTATTTTATTTGCAAGATAGAATTGCATGAGAGAGAGATCTTGCATCTGCTGGTTCCGTTTCCAAATGACTACAGCCACCAGAGCTGGGCTGGTCCAACACCAGGAGCCAGGAGCTTCTTTTGGGTCTCCCTCCCGTGTGCAGGAACCCAAGCACTTGAGCCATCCTCCACTGCTTTCCCAGACAGAATATTGACAGGGAGAGCTGGATGGAAAGTGGAGCACCTGGGACAAACCTCCACTCACATGGGATCCGGTGCTGCAGCACTTGCCCCCGTATATCCTTTTTCATCTTCTGTCTTCCTGGGAGTTCATGGCTCCCCTCCCTTTTTGAACAGCCTTCATCCTGACACGCAGGTTTGTACGATGAAAAGGGACAGACTGTAACGTGTGTGGCTGGGGAGAGTGGAGGTGAGGGGAGAGATGGCTTTTTCGTGAGCCTGAAACTAGTGTTCCCGGGGTCAGAAGCTGTGGTCTGGCCTCGTTTAACCTTCTCGCTTTCAGGAGGAAGGCTTCTACTACTTTTCTTTGACTAAACAGGTTGGGAAGCGGCAAGACCTTCTGGTCAACCTTGCCTAAGTGGTGCAGACATGGAGCGATCCTGGCAGGATGTAAGTGACTGTGACAGCACGGGGGCAGCACGGGGAGAGGCACGTGTTCATTATGTATGGCTGGAGGAGTCATCTGTCTCCAGGGGCACATGTTTCACTGCGCATTAACTTCCAGCCGCATCCTCCCTGCTTCTCGGCTGGCCCTGTGCGTCACCCCTGTGCCCACTCCCCCGCTCCTCCTCATTCCCAGCCCAGCTCGACCCATAAGCGTCTCCATCCATCTTCCACCTCTCCCGCACAGTGCCTGGTCTGGCACTTGCTGTCTGGGAGTTGCCTTTCTGCCACTGTCCCTCCTTCGTCGTCTCTTTCTCTCTTCCATTCAGTCTGTGTTCTCTGCTACTCAAGCTGTTTTGGGTCCCCTGCAGCTAGCGATAACCTTTTCTGGTAAAGGAAAATCCCACTGCAGCACTGGATTTATTGATGGATTGGCTTTTATTTAGATTCTGTGGAGAAAAGGAAAAAGAGAGAAAGGTATTTTTATGAAGTGAGAGAACAGAGAGAAAATTGTGAAACCTGGAAGGAGAACAGCCTCAAGAGAAGGGAGGCAGTGGGGATGTCGGGGGGAGAGACGAGCAGATCAACTAGGTCAGAGGCTCCTGGCAGAGGACAGCTTGCCCTGAACTCTAAGGGGTTAAGCACCAAGTTAGGCTTGGCTTCTAATGCAAAGGCAAAACCTTCCGGGAGAAAAGGAGTTGAGTTAAATAAACCCAAGACGCTGACGTGTGTACAATTTCTTCTGCCTGACCCACTAACAACTCTGATAGGGACATTTAAAAAACGGGTTTTCTCTTGAAGCGCTTCATGGGGCAGAACCCCTGCAAGGCAGAACCCGGCTCCCAGGCCAGACCTGGGGAGCCCTGCAGGATGGGGACACTGCAGGATGGGGACAGTTGGCTGACTGGGGGTGGAGGGGGGATGGAGGGAGGAGGAGGAAGGGGTGGCCGGGGCCAGGCAGGAGGCGGCAGCAGCTGCTGAGTCAGGGCAGTTTTTGCTCCCTCCTCTTGCCTGCCTGCTCTAATTAATGCCTTCCCAATATGATTCTGGCTTCCTGAGGGGAAACCAGAATTTATACAAACAAACAAGCAGCAAGCACAAAGTGGTGGAGATGCAGGACTGCCATACGCATAGATTGGAAATGGTAAAGTGCTTAGCGGAACCCGGAGATCAGGGCTGCGGGTCAGGTTCAAAGCCCCTGGTTGTCTGAACTGGAATCTCTCAACAAAACAGAGAGCTAAAGGCAATTGGTGACACAGGCCGATCCCCTGCATTCTCTACTGACCCCTCCCTCGTGACTCCAACAGAAGGAAGTGCTACCCAGGGAATCCGCTCCCCACCCCCCTCCTGGCTTTCCCCTCACTCCCTTGTCACCCCTCACTTCCTTTGCCTAACAGGCCACATTGAATCCATGGGCTAGAAGAAATCAGTTGTTTTATTTCCCCTCAAAGGATGTGAACTGCCATTGCCCAAATGGCTTTGTCGGTTCTCTCATTTGCTGGCTGACAGATGCCATCAGAAGACATTGACCTTCTGGTCTTTGCAAACTGAAGAGGAAACATTCGGTCACTATTAGGCTTCCGTCTCTCATTTGCTTTCACTGCATCTGCCCTCCTTCCACCCCTTTCCTCCCTCACCTCCCCAAGTTTCTTCCTGAACATTCTGTGCATCGGACAGCACAGTTTCCCCTCCCACAGCCCTGGCTGGCCTGCCTCCTGCCCCACAGTGGTCCCTAATACTGAGACAAAGCACGGGGCCTCCAGGGGCCTCGCTTCTGACTGATCGGGCCTGTCACCTACCTGGAGGAGTAGGATTTTGGTGTTCCCAAGCTCTCTGCCCAGAGAACTTGTCAGACATCATCACTGAGAGAGTCCTGTCCTTTGCATGCCTGGGAACTGCTGGGAGAAATAAATCTTCCAGCTATTTAAGGCAGGTTTTTTTCCATCATCCTTTGTCCAAAGGACTGTTCTGGGAGATGAATCTGAAGGGAGTCCCTGACCTGGCACATTCCACTCCATAGCATCCCTGAAGTGTGAGGTGACACTCGTTATCCCTGCACAGCACTGGTGCCCCCAGCTACTCACCTCCCTGCCCAGAGTGGGTACTGCCAGCCTGGCTGAGGTCCCTTACTTTCACAAAACACCTGCCACAAACTGACCACTGATTGCATTCAGTGAAGTCCCCTGTCCAGTCTCAGAAAGACAGAAGGACAGAAGCTAGAACCACAGCAGCACACAGGGCTGGGAGCTGGATGCCAAGAGCCCACGGGTGCTGGTGTGGGCGAGGTGTTTGGGTTGGACAGTCAGACCCCTGTGCCAGGGCAAAGTGAGAAACAGAAACGGGGCAAGGGGCTGTAAGTTGCCCGATCATCTCTCCTCTCCAGACGGTGCTTCCTGTTGATGGAATGAGGCCAGGGAGTCTGGCTCGCTCTCAAGTCGTGCAAGGAAATTCCAATTCTCAACTCTACCCTCAAGGCTATTTCCCAAGGCAGTGGCTTTCAAATTGTGTTCTGAGGGGTTGCAAGAGGTGCCAGGGAAGTGTGTGTGTGTGTGTGTGTGTGGAGTGGAAACAAAGACTCATATCCCCTCCACTGTTATATTTTTCAACTTGATTTCCACTCTTTTTCAGCTGTTAGGATTTTCCCTCAGAATTCGCATTTTAAAAAGTCCTAGTTTCTGAAGAGATCCACACACAGTGGGGTCCTGAGAGGACGATGATGGCACCTTTCCCTGCTGGCCCTTGGCACACAGTGTACACAGGACCCAGGGGACACACAGCACCGCCCCACCAGCTTCGGCAGTGGTGCAGGCACAGGTGCAGCTGGCGGCTCCCGGGATACTTTTGCAGCAAAATCGGATCTCTGCAAGAACCAGTCATTTGTTTTCCAAACTCCTTTCTCCAATCTCACTAATTCCCAATTTCCCCACATTTGACAAATGCAATTAACAAGCCTCGATCAGTTCTTGGCCGACAGCCTTCATCAATCAATACACAAACTGCACTAGGCAGAAGCGGTGGAGGGGGCAGGGCTGGTAGCTGCAGCCCAGGGCCGAGGCCTCTGCCCCCACTTCTGTGAGCCGCCCTTCCTAACCTCCGAGTGGCCGAACTTGACCCTCCCTAGGGGCCAGGTGACTATGTCTTCCTCTTGCGCTTTTCAAAGTCCCCACCCCTGGCTTCTCCCTCCTCCCGTCTTTTGCTTAACAGAAGGCCTTGCCATCTGCTGCCACCATAGCTTGGGAACCCCTCGATGCAGAGAATGATAAATCAGCCATCTCTCTTTGCAGAGAGGCCTATTCCCCACCCACACATCCCAGCGGTTTGTGTGGCTTCCTGCCACAAGGCTGTAAGCCTCCATCGCTGGCTCTGAAGCCACCGGGGCCAGGATGGCCACTTGTGTGGTCAGTACTGCTTCACATACCCTTCTTTTTCTCAGGGGCCTAGCCTTCCTGTTCTCTTCCGCTGCTGATGCAAACGCCTGTCCCCCTCACCCTTCTGCTGTGACATCACATCTCCCCCACCTCAACCCCGCCCTGGCAGACCCTCCCTCTTTCCATCTCCTTGTAAAGAGAATTACAAGTTTCCCTCCTTCCCCTCTTTCTCCTTTGTTATTAGGCTCATGAGTGGCGACGTTAATATATTCACTAGGCAATGTCTTCACACCACTGTTTCCTGTAATTATAGTTACTTTCCTCCCACTGTCCTGGCTGATTTCACTGTGAAGTGCTTGGAGGAGGTACTGTGTGGACAAAAGACACAAGATTGGCTGAGGTCCAGTAGGTGGGTAGTGTAATGCTGACATCCAAGAAAGGAAAACAAACAGTCACACTCTGCAGCAGCTTATTAACAATTAGTAACATACAGAGGTCAATGTTCCGGAACTTTCACAAAGCAATGAAACAACTGTGGGCCCTTTCACTATAGGAAAGGGTGCTATATCCATATTATCAGTGAGAGTCACCCCAAGAAGAGCAAGTAGCCAATTGCACCCCTCGTTCAGGGGGTGGAACCACTGTACTTGTCGTGCAGGTCAGCAACATTGTCGCTGGACACCCGGATCCAGCCGTCCTCCCGCACGTGGTAGAGGTTGACAGCGCCCCCTGAGTAGGCATCTCGGTAGGTAGCTTGGTAGATGGCCCGGCGGGCTAGGTCGTAGGCCTCCTCCACTTCTAGGTTGTAAGAATAGCCCCGATCCATGACACCGTAGGCGTACACAGAGCCAGAGCCCACGGAGAAGGTGGCTCCCGAGATGCGGTTCCCTTCGCTGTCCACATAGTAGAGGCCTGGGGAGAGAGAGGAAGCTAGCAAGGAAACAAAGCACCGTCCTTTCATTTTTCCTTCCTTCCAAGGCAGGCATTCTTTAGCACCTTGGAAGTCAGGGCAAACCAACATGAATAAGAGAAAACAGAACTTCCACAAATTCACTTAAAGAACCACCTCTTCTTCCCCACTCCAGCCACTAAACCGCAGGTGAGGAGTCAATTGTGAGATCAAGAGCTGGGATTCTGGGGTTGGCGCCACAGCTCAACAGGGGAATCCTCTATCTTTTGTGGCCATATGGGGAGTGTATACTAAATGGAGGATCTTTTCCTCTCTTAACCTGCCTTTCAAATAAAAATAAAACTTGAAAAAACATAAAAACAGGCCTGCAATGGTAGCCCAGTGGCTAAAGGCTGCACAAGTCTGCACCTTGCATGCACCAGGATCCTATATGAGCACCAGTTCGTGTCCAGCTGCTCTACTTCCCATCCAGCAACCTGACTGCGGACTGTGAAGGCAGTAGAGGATGGCCCCAGGCCTTGGGATTCTACACTTGCATGGGAGACCCAAAGGAAGCTCCTGGCTCCTGGCTTTGGATAAGCTCAGCTCCAGCCACTGCAGCCACTTGGGGAGTGAGCCATGGGTTGCAGTATCTTTCTGTCTCTCCTTCTCTCTGTGGTGCTAATAAAAGATTTATTTATTTATTTATTTTAATTGCAAAGTCAGATATATACAGAGAGAAGGAGAGACAGAGAGAAATATCTTCTGTCCAATGATTCATTCCTCAAGTGACTGCAACAGCTGGTGCTGAGCCAATCCGAAGCCAGGAGTCCAGATCCTCTTCCAGGTCTCCCATGCGGGTACAGAGTCCCAAAGCATTGGGCCATCTTCGACTGCTTTCCCAGGTACACGCAGGGAGCTGGATGGAAAGCGGGGCTGCTGGGATTAGAACCGATAGCCAATATGGGATCCCGGGTGTTCAAGGTGAGAACTTCAGCTGCTAGGCCACGACGCCAGACCCTCTAATAAATAAATCTTACACACACACCCCATACCCCCCGGTATTCTACAACATGTCATCCCATCTTATCTCAGCTTCTCTGTCTGTCCTCATATCACACTCACAAAGCAACTCTAGGGGCTGGTGTTGTAGTATAGTGGGTAAGGCACCAGCCTGTGTCCAAGCTGCTCCACTTCTGATCTAGCTCCCTGCTAAGGGCCTAGGAAGGCTGTGGAAGATGGCCCAAATGCTTTGGTCCCTGCCACCCAGCCAGGAGAGCTGGAAGAAGCTCCTGACTCCTGGCTTTGGCTTTGCTCAGCCCTGGCCATTGTGGCTATCTGGGGAGCAAACAAGTGGATGGAAGATCTCTTCTGTGACATGCAAATACATAAATTATTAAAAAAGGAAACTATAACCCAATGGCTTTAGTTTCACATACAGGATTTCAGGCACTGAGGAAGGTAATGTTCAAAAGTAATTCCAACCCTCCACGTGTTAGACTATGTGGGGGCCAAGCCATACATCCCACACAGCAGACAGAAGGCCACAGTCCTCAATTCTGAAGACTTACTGTCCAGTACAATAGCCAGTGGCCACATATAGAGTCAAAACTGCATGCTTTGCACTATTTGCTGAGCTATTTCAAATATATTGGGCTGTATAAAATACATAATTAAAATTAAAAATTTTAAAGAAAAAAAAAACAAGATAAAAAATTGATTTCTTCTTAAATATTTGAAATGTAAGTACTTTTGACATTTAAACTTACTTCTGTGCCTCGTCTTGTATTTCTTTTGCTGGTACAGACCGGGAGCTGGCCAGGTCAACTATTTTTTTTTTCTAATAAGGTTTCATTACAATATAGCTATACATATTTGTTTAGAGTAATACTGTCTCTGCTACACCAGCAGAGTGTTACACCAGCAAAGTCAGGTAGTAAGACAAGACCATATGGTCTGCAAGCCTAAAATGTTTACTACTTGGCCTTTAAACTGACTGCTGACACAGACGAATATTTAGACAAAGAGTTTAATAAAAAGCATGAATCCCAGGGGCAATAGTGTGGCTCAGTGGGTTAAGCTGTCAACATCCCCTGTGAGGACAGGTTTGAGTTCCAGCTTCTCTATTTCCGATCCAGTTTCCTGTAAATGTGCCTGGAAAGCAACGGATGCCTTCCCAAGCTCTTGGATCCCTGCCACTCACGTGGGAGATCTGGAGAGTGGTCGGCCCCTGGCTTCAGCCTGGCCCACGCCCAGCCACTGAGGGCACGAACCAGCACACAGATCTCTTTCTTCCCCACTGCCTGCTAGAACCTACCAACTGATGAATTTGTTGCAGGTTCAGATCCAAACTTTCTATCTCAGACATCTTTAGTATGTCTGCATCACATGCCAACTCCTGTCTTTGCAACACCCAACACAATTTGTCCTGTCTTAAAATTTTGCCAGTAGCATCTCAACTCCTCAACTCTCACTGCATTAAAATCATCTAAGGGGGCCCGGCATGGTAGCCTAGTAGGTAAAGTCCTTGCCTTGCACACACCAGGATCCTATTCGGCTCCCTGCTTGTGGTCTGGGAAAGTAGTCAAGGACGGCCCAAAGCCTTGGGACCCTGCATCCGTGTGGGAGACCTGGAAGAAGCCCCTGGCTCTGGACTGGATCAGCTCTGGCTATTGCAGTCACTTGGGGAGTGAATCACCGGAAGGAAGATATTCCTCTCTGTCTCTCCTCCTCTCTGTATATCTATCTGACTGTTCAATAATAATAAAATCAACTAAGGAAGACTTCTGGCCACAACGGCCAGAGCTGGGCCAGTCTGAAGCCAGGGGTTTCTTTGGGATCACCACATGGATGCAAGGGACCAAGGACCTGAGCCATCCTCTGCTTTCTCAGGCCATTAACAGGGACTTAGATAGAAAGTGGAGCCACAGGGACATGAACTGGTGTCCACATGCGATGCTGGTGCCACAGGCAGACGACTAACTTGGAAGCCACCACACCGGCCCCTTCTCATTTTTACATCCAAGATAACGACCTATCTAAGGAGCCCTCCTCTAGCAAAAGGAATTTCTTCCTAACTCCTTCAGCCACCTGCTGCTTCTTCAGAAACCAGTGTTGTGGGGCACTGGGGAAAGGTGAGCTCAGGACACCAAGCCCCCTATCAGCGTTCTGGTTGGAATCCTAGCTACTCCTCCCAGCCCTAACCACTGAGGACCTCTGGAGAGTGAACCAGTGGATGAAAGAGCTCTTCCCTTCTTCTCTTTGTAAGCTTTGAAATATATATATAAAAAAAAGCTTATTCATCTTCTTCAGCCTGGGATGAGGTAATCTGAGACTTAAAAGTTTGCTTTTTAAAATTCTTTTTAAAATTGGAAAGTCAGATTTATAGAGAGAAGAGGCAGCGAAAAAGATCTTCCATTTGCTGGTTCACTCCCCAACTGGCTGCAACAGTTGGAGTTGAGCAGATCTGAAGCCAAGAGCTAGGAGCTTCTTGGGGTCTCCCACGTGGGTGCAAGGTCCAAAGGATTTGGGTTGTCCTCGACTGCTTTTCCAGGCCAGAAGCTGGGAGTTGCATGGGAAGTGGAGCAGCCAGGACACAAACCGGTACCCATCTGGGGAACTGGCACCCATATGGGATCCTGGCATAAGGAAGATGAGGATTTAGCCACTAGGTTATTGCACCAGGACCCTTAAAGCTTGCCTTTTTTTTTTTAATATTTATTTTTATCGGAAAGGCGGATATGCAGACAGGAGGAGAGACAGAGAGGAAGATCTTCCGTCCGATGATTCACTCCCCAAGTGACCGCAACTACTGGAGGTGAGCCAATCTGAAGCCAGGAGCGAGGAGCTCTTCCAGGTCTCCCACACAGGTACAGGCCCCCAAGGCTTTGCGCTGTCCTCCACTGCTTTCCCAGGCCACAAGCAGGGAGCTGGATGGAATCAGGGCTGCCAGAATTAGAACTGGTGACCAAATGGGATCCCAGCACGTGCAAGGCGAGGCCTTTAACTACTACGCTATTGTGCCGGGCCCTAAAGCTTGCTTCTTAAGGCAAACAGACAACCTGCACTGAATGGGTGCTCTGTCAGGCAGGTGGCCTAGAAGCAGCTGAATTCAGACAATGTTCTGCCTTCTTTGATTTTCCCTGCTAGCCAAACCCTATTTTCTTTTTCCAAATGACTTAATCATTGGAAGCAAACTAAATGGAAAGCTTAAAATAGAGAAGAATTACATGTTAGTGCCTTTTGCAAACTGAGCTGGGACAGAAACGGACTGGAGGCCGCCCCTCAACCTGATCCCTTCCAAACAAAGAAGTCCAGTGTCCTGGGCACTGTGGCTCAGGAAAGGGGGAAGTGCTGCTATGTTCGTACACTGTTTCCATCATCTAGATCAAACTGAACAGAGGAAAGTCCAAAGTAATATTACCCAAATGCTTCACTGTGCCATGCAAATTGTATGGAATCTTTTGTGTGGTTTGTTTAAGACTTGTTTATTTGAATACCAGTTAGAGGAGAAAGAGAGGTCCTTCATTCTCTGGCTGACTCCCCAGATGGCTACAACAGTTAGAGCAGGGCCAGGTTGAAGCCAGGAGCCAGTAACTTCTTCCAGGTCTCCCGCTGCTTTCCCAGGGCATCAGCAGGGAGCTGGACCTCAAGTAGGGCAGCTGGCACGTGAACCATGGCCGCACGGGATGCCAGCATCACAGGCAATGGCTTTACCACAACACTGGTCCCTGAAGTTTCTTTTATACCTTTTAAGGCTAAAGTGCTTTGAGTTCCTGGGTATGGGTGCTTGGCACAGTAATTCAGTCGCCTCGAGAAGCCTGTATCCTACATTCCAGTGAGACCAAGCCCCGGCCCCACTGCCAGTCCAGCTTTCCGCTAATACATGTCCTGGGAGGTGACAGGTGACAGACAGCTCCAGGGCTTGCATCTTTGCCTGCCAACCAGAAAACCTTATGGGCACCTGGGGAATGAACCTGCACATGGAAGAGCGCTGTCTCTCTGCTTTTCAAATGAAATAAAAAATTAAAAAATCAATCAAAAGAATGAAAAATGTTTAAGTGTTATGACTTCCACTAACCAAGTTTCCCTTTCATGCCTACTTTCTGAACTCCTCACCCAAAGCCCACTGGGCAGGAAACGGGCCTTCTATACCCGTCTAGTCTCATTCCAAAGCACGTGACAAGTGGGAGGTCTCCCACAGCTAAGGCTCACTGGGCATTTAGTAAGCAGGTACACAAACCAAGTGAAGACGACAGGAAGAAAGAACAATGATTTTCAAGCAGGCAGGCAGAATTACACAGAAAATCACTAGCTGTCCTCCAGGTTCACTAAGAGGACAACTACAACCAAGCTGGAGGCAAGAGACAGGTGCTCGGGTTAAGTCACCAGCTGGAACTCTCACAACAGCTGGGACAAGAAAGAGCCATGGGCTTGGTATGATGGCTCATTGGGCCAATCCTCTTCTCACAAGTGCCGGGATTCTATACAGGCACCAGTTCGTGTCCTGGCTGCTCTACTTCCATTAAGCTGTACTGCTTATGGCCTGGGAAAGCAGTGGAGGATGTCCCAGAGCATTGGGACCCTGCACCCCGTGAGAGACCTGGAAGAAAGCTCCTTGCTCCTGGCCTTGGATTGGCTCAGTTCTGGCCATTGAGGCCATTTGGAAAGTGTACCAGCAGATGGAAGATCTTTCTCTCTATAAATCTGCCTTTCCAATAAATCTTCAAAAGTCACCTACCAAATATGGCACTGGTTACTGTTTATCACCATTTAACCAATCTAGCAGGTGAAAAAGCAGAGGCTGAGAAAATCACCAAGCTACTAGAGGTCACACAGGGACGAGTGTCTAACTGTAATCCTGTGCCCTATACTACAGTATCTACTTGGAACACCAAACCCAAGTCACCTGCAGCGTACCCTCAGCACCCACACCGGGCCTTCCATCCAGCTATTCATCCCCTAAACCCTTCTCCTCCGCAGTCTCAGCCCAAGGCTCCACTCACCCGGACCCCTCTTATCCCAGCCGCAGATCATGGTGCCCATGGAGAGCCCCATGCCCTTGTACTGGTACACCATGTTGGCCAGCAGCTTGGAGGCAGCCGCCACCGAGATGCGCTCCTTATTCCGAAGCTCGTAGATGCGACACTGCCGAGCCAGCAGCCGCTCCCAGAAGCTGCAGTCTGCCGCGCCGCCGGCCATGGTGCCCAGCAGGTACGGGTTGATCTCAATCACCTTCTTGACTGTCTGGGAGGCGATATAGGCCCCTGCTGTGGCCCGGGAGTCAGCCGCGACGATGACGCCATGGCGGAACTGTTGAGATCAGAGGAAGACAAAACAGGCCTCATCAGACCACAAGCACACACCCATGTACCCCCACATTCCTCCTCGGATCAAGCCCAGCGTGTCTTCCTCTGCGCTTTAGGAATTCACAACAACCGTCCTTGCGTACTCATGTCACGTGGGCTTCACACCAATTTCTGACCTGAATCTCACCAGTCTGAGGCTAATACAGTGGAGGAAAACGGTTTGCTGAGACCCAACCCCTCTGCCCTCGACCTAGAACTTGCTATTGCAGAGAAGGGGTAGGAACCCCAACTGCCCGACTACCAAAACGGCGTTTCCTCAGCTGCAATCAGCCAACTCCTCACACCACACACCTGCCTGCTGAGGCCGCCCAGTTTCCCAAACCTCAGGTGAATATTATGGCAACAGTCCGGCCCCCCAAGTTCACTGTGGCTGTGATCTCCACTTGCCCAGCAAAGAACTCCCGACCCACAGCAAGCCGGGTAGCTTAAGAATCAACTTCGTTTTGCTGGGTTCCTCCGCCCTCCCCCTCCCCACCCCACCTCCCAACAGTCCCCTTGTCCCGCCAGGGCGAAGGCCAAGGCCTTCCCGAGCAATGAGACAGCGAAACCGCCGGGTCGGGACGACAGGACCGAGCCTCAGCCTGGGCTCTGTGCTCGCGGCCACCGCCGGCTCCTGTCCGGCTGCGTGGCCGAGAAGGGCGCGCGGACTCCGGACTGCATCCCGCCAGGCGACTGGGGTCGCACCTTGAAGGCCAGCGTGGTGGTTCCATGGACCATTTCGATTCCCGGCTCCTCCGGGACGCCCCAGCCGGGCGCGGTCAGGCTCAGCCCATCTCTGGGACTCCCTGGACCCAGATCCAGCAGATCCGTACGACCTCCGAGTCCGAAAAACCCGCGCTGGTTCACAGGTAGCGGAGCCTCCAACACGCTGGCCAGCGCCATGTCTACTAAGGGCAAAGGAACTAGCCCCAAGAGGGGTCGGGCAACGCCTCGCCGTCACAGCTTCACTTCCTTGAAAGTCTGTTCCGGGGAGGAGCCATTTTGACTCCTGGCAAACTTGCTTCCGCCAACAAGAACTGAAAGGAAGGCACCATTTTCACCGAGAGGAAAGAAGATAACCAATGCATTAAATTCCAAAAGGATGTGGCTGATATCTTGAGTTTGGTCACGCAAAGCAGTCCAGCATCAGGTGCACCTCAAATTCATAGGAACGGATAGGAAATACACACGTTGCGTGAGCGAGGTGGTGCCGGCCATCTTTGAGAAGGGCGTGACTGGTTGAAATGCGTTCTGTACGCTGAGCAGGAGCTTGTCCCCGCCCATCAGGTTTCCAGGCAACGCGTCACACCTCTGCTGCTCCTAGCACCTAGCTAACGCCACTAAGGTTGCTGTTTCCTTTAAGAGGACCCTGTGCTACTGAGTAAAATAGCGGTTTACTCTGAAGCAATCTACCCAGGCTGTAGTAATTTACAGTAATTTATGGTGAAAAGCCCAACGTAGTGTGTGTCGCCACACACAAGTATCCAGTAACCAAATTTCCAGGTCCAATGTTCTCTTCACTTGCCACTACTGGAAAGTCTAATGAAGACTGAATTACTTAAACGCCAAATGGAAAAGTTTTTAAGAAGGAAAACAGGAGCCAGCGCCGGGACACAAGTTCATCTTGCAGTCTGTGGTGCAGGAATCCCATATGGAGGCCAGTTCGTGTCCCAGCTGCTCTACTTTTGATCCAGTGCCCTGCCGATGCCTGAGAAAATGGAGGATGGCCCACGTTCTTGGGACCCTGCGCCCGTGTGAGGAACCTGGAAGAAGCTGCTGGCTTCCAGCTTTGGATCAGCCTAGCTCTGGCCATTGAGGTCACTTGGGGAGTGCACCAGCAGATGGAAGATCTCTCTGTCTCTTGTTCTCTCTGTGAAATCTACCTTTCAAAGAAAAATAAGTGAAACTAGAAAAAAAAAAAAAAAGAAGAAGGAAAACAAAGGGCTGGGCCTGGCGGCCTGGCCTAGCAGCTAAAGTCCTCGCCTTGAACACACCAGGATCACATATGGGCGCCAGTTTTAATCCCGGCAGCTCCACTTCCCATCCAGCTCCCTGCTTGTGGCCTGGGAAAGCAGTCGAGGATGGCCCAACACTTTGGGACGCTGCACCCACGTGGGAGACCTGGAGGAAATTCCAGGCTCCTGGCTCCTGGCTCTGGATCGGCACAGCACTGGCCATTGCGCTCACTTTGGGGAGTGAATCATCAGATGGAAGATCTTCCTCTCTCTCTCCTTCTCTCTGTATATCTGACTTTGTAATAAAAAAATAAATAAAATCTTAAAAAGAAAAGAAAAGAAAAGGAAGGGCTGACTTATCATTTCAGCAGTAATGTACTATCTTGGGGACCCGGAAGAAAGTTGCGGCTCCATGAAGATGTGTCCAGAGATTGTCTAGCTCCAATTTGCAGAAATGCACTGTATTTCATTGTCTCTGTACTATCCACCTTCAATTTTCAACTCTTTGGGGAGCTGTACCAAACAAGTCAGGAAGTGGGCCTATGCAGGAAATGTTATCTCCTGCTTTATGGGCTGTGACGTCAGTGTCTGGCCTCTCTTGTTGGATTCTAGTGGCAACATCTATCAACACCTCAATTCCACTTTCCTCTGATGCCCCGTTCAGCCCCTCCTCCCTCCAACCCCCGTTTTGGTCCCCAGCAGAATCTGCATGTGCTGTGTCTTTTAACGCTAAAATTTGGCAACCCTCTCCAAGCCCAAAAAGTATGATGTGACAATGCGGGGAGCAGTAATTGTGGCTTACACTTGGACGGTGTGGAAAATGCAAAGTTCCTCTGTTGAGCACATATTATTTGCATTATTTTGCAGTCATCCCTGCAATGCAACTAGTCCATCCTTCTGACTTTTAGTAGTTTCATTGTCACTAATTGCATTTGTACCTTTTAAGGCACTTAAATTTTATTTATGGACCAAGCATGGTAGCCTGATGCCAGTTCGTACCCCAACTGCTCCACTTCCCATCAAGCTCCCTGCTTGTGGCCTGAGAAAGCAGTAGAGGACGGCCCAAAGCCTTGGGACCCTGTACCCCTGTGGGAGACCTGGAAGAAGATCCTGGCTTCGGATCAGCTCAGCTCTGGCCATTACAACCACTTGAGGAGTGAACCAGCAGACCGAAGATCTGTCTCTCCTCCCCTCTGTAAATCTGACTTTTCAATAAAAATAAATAAATCTTTGAAAACAAAATTTTATTTATTAGAAAAGCAGAATCGCAAAGAAGTAGTTGGGGAGATTTTCCACCTATTTATTCACTCTGCACATGGCTGTGATAGCTAGGGCTGGGATGTCAGGTAGAACCCAGGATCATGAAACTCTACCTGGGTCTCCCACATGAGTGGCAGGAGTCGAACGCCTTTGGCTATTCTTTGCCGCCTTTTGGGGGAACTAGCTGTGAAGTGGAGTGGCTAGGACTGGCAGCAATGCCCCCACAGTGCCCCCACGGGATGCCAGCATCACAGGTGGTCCAACTGCCTATACCACAACACTGCTCCCTCTTAAAGCACTTTCTTATTTTACCTGGTTACATGTGTACATTTTCCTCTTGTTGGATCAAAAGCCTTTGTTTTGTTTTCTTTGTTTTTGTTTTGGTCACGAGCTTTTGAAGTCAGGTATTTGTGTTTTCATCTCTATACTCCCAGTCTGTTTCATACATGTTGCCTAATGAACACATAAAGGAGGAATAACAATTATGGTCCCAGGTGCCTGGCTCATCTCTGGCCACGCCCTTCCTTTTTCCCACTTTCAGTGAGCTGCCAAGTTTCTGTTGATCCTCCTTCTGTAATATTTCTCACATTCTTTTTCATTGCAACTGATAACATCTTTGACTTGTTTCCTCATTCCTAAATTACTAAAATATCCTCCTAACAGATTCTTTGGGCTCTAATTCATCCTACACAGTATCAGATTGATTTCCTGAAAACACCATTTTGAGCTCATCAACCCAACCTTCTTCAAAATGTTTGGTGAAGTTCAAGCACCTGGACACGGTGTTCAAGGCCTTCCCTGTGTAATTGGGCCCCCATTTCCCTTAGGTGCTTTGCTGTAGGTCCCTACTTGGGGGACCTCACAGAGAAGAACAATCAATGCTGTAGTTCAGAGGTAAAGAGGCATTGAGTGTAAATTGGGATGAAGCATCGGTCCAGGCTGACTTTGACAAGAGGTATTAATTCATTTTATTAAATCCTTCTCAAGGGTAGAGGAGGGTTGGTTCAATGCCTCAGTGGCTCAATTCTTACCTTGCAAGTACCAGGATCCCATATGGGTGTTAGTTTATATCCCAGCTGCTCTACTTCCCATCCAACTCCCTGCTTGTTGCCTGGGAAAACAGTAGACGATGGGCCAAAGCCTTGGGACCCTATATCTGCATGGGAAACCTAAAAGAAGCTCCTGGCTCCTGGCTTCCGATCTGCTCAGCTCCAACTGTTACACCCATTTGGGGAGTGAACCAATAGATAGATGATCTTTTTCTCTGTCTTGCCTTCTTTGTATAAATCTTTCTTTCCAATAAAATAAATAAATCTTAAAAAAAATACAATTCAACTAGGTGAAGGGACGATGAGGGACGTGGTAGAAATTGAATAAAGAAAAGCTATGATGAATGGATTTGAATTAGATCATAGTAGGCTCTAAATGCTAGCCTGGACTGGATGAGGGGGTTCAGAGTTTATTTTGTTTCTTTGCAAGGAAACAGGGAATTTGAGCATTGCCTTAGGAAAACATGTCCTTATGAAGATTAAAATTAGAGTGGAAGAGCAGATATTCAGCACAGCAGTTAAGCACCCAATATCAGATTTCTGAGCTCAGGTCCTGGCTGTGCCCTTCATTCCAGTGTCCTGCTGGTGTGTTCCTGGAAGGCAGCAGGTCACTGCCCAAGCGGTTGGCTCCCCGACCCCCCAGATGGGAGACCTGGACTGAGCTCCCGGCTCTCAGCTTCACGCTGACCCAGCTCTGGATGTTGTAGGCATTTAGAGTGAGCCAATGGATGGGAGTTAATGCTCTCTCTCTTTTTCTGTTTGTTTTTTCCTGAAAAACAACAAGACCAGCATGAAGACTAAAGATTGGTCAGACAGGAAGTTTTCAGTTGTTTTCAGGGTTGACTTGTTAATGGCCTGTGTATAGATGTATTGTTGCAAGTTGACCAAACCTATCCCAGAAATGAGTCAGAGGCAGACTCTTCGAAGCTCAGGGAAGCTGAGCATGAAACACCGACACCTAATCAATTTAAGTGTCATGCACTTTCAACTATCCAATCAGCAAGAGCTGCATCCCATCTAGTAGCTGTTAGGTTCTGTCCAATCTAACAGTTGCAAACAACTGAACCAGGCAAACAGCTCCTTCCAATTCCGTGTACAGAAACCAATTCAGGGCATTCAGTTTACCACGTGAGCTCTCACAGAAGAGCAAGAGCTCATCCTGGAATGAGATATTTTCTAGTGATAAGTACTCTCACTCCCCTTTCGGGACTTTCCAAAAATCTGAGGTCATGGACACATCCTGGAAATGTTTCAAGAGATCTGGCCTTACCGTTGCCACTTCTTATTCTCTGGGCTGTCACAGTATGTATGTATGTGTCCATCTTACTGTCCATTTGAAGAAAATGTAAGACTTCGTCTTTAGCTATTTTTGAAATAGCAATTTACTTGAAAGGCAGCAAACTGGATATTGTCTATTAGTTCACTCCCCAAATACCTCTAACTGCTGGGGCTGGGCCAATCTGAAGCCAGAACTAAGGAACCAGACATCCCACATGCATGGCAGGGACCCAAGTATTTGAGCTGTTACCTTCTGCCTCCCAGGGTGCACAGCAAGAAGTGCGCCTGAAGTGGAGCCAGGACTCAAACGCAGAGACTCCGATGTGGAACACAGGCATACCGAGCGGCTTCTTCTTCTTTTTTTAAGGATTTATTTTATTTGTTTT